TTTCTTTTCGAGAAACAAAAAATACATGCGGTTTTACATGTATGTGTTAGGAATCTCTTTAACAGAACTTTTCAAATGTGAAAAAATAAAATTAAATTATTCTATATTTACTAGGATATACTGAATATTGCGTTTCTCGTAATTTAATTTTTTTTTAAATCGTTAAAACATGGGGTTTTTTTTTAAATTGTTAGGGAAACCCAAATAAAAGCTTAATAGATACTTACCCTTCCACATGGTCTCAGACCTTCATAAAAGAGATAAAAAAAAAGATTAAAAGCATTCAAAATATTACAGGTATTTCAATTTGTTTGAAAAACATGTAATTCAAATTAAACAGATTCGGGATGAAAACGAGTTAGGGAACATCCAAGGTGCAAAAACTCGAATCCCTCGTAACCGCCATATTTCTATTTTTTTTAATACACTGAGAGAGTTTTGTACAATTTTATCAAAATCAGAAAACATGAAAAATCTTCTAGATAAAAAGGCAATATAAAAAAGTAGATGAATAACACTAAACTTGAGAAGGATATTAACCAAGAAAGATGTCCTCCAACAATAGAAACGAATTTTCTCTTTTATTTCAATGAGAAATGCTTTATAGGACTTTTTAATCAAAAGTTTAGTCAAAATTCAATCGCAAATGAATGGTTATACATTGAAACGTTTTCTACTTTTATTATTCCTGTGCGTTAATTATACACTGTATTTTAAATTCACTGGAAAAGGTTAAATACGCATTGTGGCTTCATAATGTTTTAATCATGACGTCATGAGAAACGTTAATGACTACTTTTCAAAACTTTCTAATCAGCCAACATGGTTGTAAGCCCAAAGAGTAACAATAAAACAAGAGTTAATGTTGAAAAAGGGTTGGCACTCAAATATCGCGCCCACCTCACATTCAATTTATATATTTCATTGGCCGTATACATGCATTTGTATATTACCTGGTTGGCATCTTCCACGGTTACACCAGTTATTTTCTGGACAATCAGTATCCTAAAAAAATAAGATAACTCAATTTAATTTTAAACTTTAAAGAGGCTTTCTGCTCGGACAACTGACATACAAAAATACATATAACAAACTACTTTTACAAGCCTATTTAGCAAATAGTTACTATCTGTGTAATAAGTTATAGTTTACTTATACAAGTCTTTATATTTTTGGTATTGAGAGTGTACATGGTATTTGTTTCCATATGAAAATGCGAGCTGTTTTGATTACAACTTTTTCAGTTCACTGTGAACTTGGCACGGAAGCATTCTACTCAAGTAGTAAAAATTACAAAGGTAAATAGCCAGCAGGCATTTTTTAATTTAAACCCTTTCCATTACGTTACTTTATTCCTGAATAAGTTAAAGATAACAAACACTGTTGAATTGAAAGAAATCTCCGAACTATTCAAATATTCCATCATGATCTAAATCAGGGACCCTGGAAAGAGACGGGATCAGTTAACTGTGGGGAGTAAGTATTCCCTGTATATCAGACACTCAGTCACACCGTAAAAACGATGTTCATCGATTTCGATAGCAACCTGTATCTCCACTGGCATTGAAACACACTTGCATTGGAAAAATAAAATAAGATCACCTGATAAAATAGGTTAACAAAGGCATTACATTTCTGTGAACTTTGCTTATCCAGGTATTCAGGAACATTCACAATTACTATAAATAATGTTAAAAATATTAGTTTCGCAGATACAGGAAACATCTCGCAAAATTGATGTAATTTTGTGATGCACAGTATAGATGGAAAAACTTTAAAACGGTTTCTTTTAAATAAACGTGCCATGTCAAATGGTTGAATCCATCCAACACACAAGTTATTAAATTTTGTCTGTGTATTATTTATTTCATGTATTACTTTATTTGGAATTGAACCCAATTTGTTCGGCAGTTATGATATTTGAGCAGTCGAGTATTAACTGCGACTCAGTTTTTTTTTTGTAGAACGGGCCCAAGGACTTCATTGTATAGCTTTAACACGAGGGACCGTTCTTTTCGATTTTAAAGTCTGGTTTAACACCTGATAGTGAGAGCATAGTCAAGAGCGAAGAAAGACCAACCTTCACCAAACGACAGTACCTTACACACGCTGAACTTCGAACATTACTGAGACAGAGGGAAAGATTTGTTACAAAAGCCTGGCCTCTGCCATAGGAATACATTAGCTAAAGACAAAAGTGCTGGGAACGCCTTACCGAAAAACAAGTATTCCGACCTGGAAAGAAACGACGAATGTTTATTGGATGGTTGGAAAATAATGATAATTGCAATTCGTACATGAGCGAAAATCAAAAGAGACATTGGCATGTGAACCTTTACAGTGATTTTTTTTTTAAAAAAGATCCTTTTTTAACTATATTGTTTCAAATTAATTACTAATTACCTTACAAAAATAGATGTTGCTATTTTTCAGAATCAGAAAGGCTTAAAATAAACGGAACAAATGACATGCGAAGTTTTGCTAAATTAACTTCTAATTTTGATTCTGTATTAAATATCTGGGAAACGGGTATAAAAACACCCAAATACACATTGCATGTGTGTTTGTGGAGCGAAGTGACTTTAATCAATGATAAAGTATGATTACTTACGATTTCTACAAATTCCACTCACACAGCTGTATCCTCGAGGACAGTCAAAGGTCTATAAATATTAAGTAATAAAAATATTTATTATTTTGTGCTTAATTGTTTAATACTTCAAAGATATACTATTAAATTCAAAATAAAAAACGTATATACAAAATGAAAACTTTCAAATTGAAGAAAGAAACAATTATCAAAAGGAAAAATTATTTATACTAACTGTTTCACAAAATCTTTGATCTTCCACTGGGTCTTCGTATGGAAAAAAGAATACATCTCTTTTATTTCTAATTACATTCTAAAGATATGCGCGTACATTTCACGTACATAAAGGCTGAGGGAGATCATTTTCCCCCCCAAAAAAATTGTATTGACGTTTGAATAATAAATACTTTGCAAAACTAAGGTGCACAATGCAAATAAATGTTGAAAATGTTCTTAATTAATTAACTTTCCAATGTTGATGAATTATTAATTTAAAAATAATTATTAGTTAATTCGGCAATAGTTAAATTCATTCAAGCCCATAATATCTCAACAGTGTAGATATACACAACGTCGTATTTTCAATGTCGGAAGTTTTCCTAAATTCTAGTGAATGTAAAAACATATTTCACGCCAAAGCAATTCGATAATTCCATCAATCTATGTTTAAACATGTACCTTGCTATGTGAGATTTAACTAACGAAAACCTTGCCTTTAATAATACGTTTTAATTTTGTTATACAGATTGAAATAGCATTTAATTTTCTTGGGTTTTTGTCGTAATTGAATGTTTTGCATAATGACATAGTTAATGTTTTCTGCATAATATGTTTTTGTAGTTGTGTTAAAGGTTGATAAATTGTATTCATTTTGTAAACAAATGCATACAATTTTTTAATCACTAATTCACTTCATAAATGGTATATTTTAAAAAAAAAAATGCTCTGGAAAGCAGTAACACTTCTAGTTGATACTATCGATTAAATCACCATGTTAAAAAAAATTACAAAAAAACAAGAGGCCCACGGGCCTTATAGGTCACCTGATATCATGTAACAACTATCGCACAATTGAATTTGGTTCATGTTTTAAACCAGAGGCCATGAAATTAACAATTTTGAAAGAGGCACCATTGCTTACCATAATTATATACTTAGCTTACTTACTCTACTTACTTAATACCCAGAGGTAGATCAGAGTAACAAAGAAAAAATGCTCTTCCAACTTATAACCAGTTGTGCACCCCACCCCAAAGGAACCACTGACCCTGAGGCCACTTATTTCAAAATTTTCGAAATTTTATCATAAATTTTATTTCATCATAAATTGTTGATTAATACTCAAGAGCAGATTTCAAAGCATTAATCTATTTTCAGACTATGCACATGTAACACCCCCACCTACCCCTGACCCATGGGGGCATGGAAATCACTATTTGATAGAAGCACCTTTTTTCATCATAGATATATATACTTAGATCATTGGCATAATACCCAGGTGCAAATGAAAAGATTTTTTAAGAATCAAAGTATTTTCACTATAGAATCAAAAGACTCCACTTACGCAAAATGGGTAAACCCCTGACACAGCTAGGGGCCATGAAATTTACAAATTAGGTTGAGGCACTCTTGCTCATTATAACCATATACTAATTTAGTTTATTTAATACCCAGGAGCAGAGAGGAAGATTTTCAAAGAACTGTTTTTTTTCACTATATAATCAATAGAGCCCGCCCTAACACCAGAACCCCTGATCCTGGGGCCATAAAATTCACAATTTTGGTAGAGCCACTCCTGCTCATCATAACTATGCACTTAGTTTGTTTATTTAATACCCAGAAGCAGAGAAGAAGATTTTCAAAGAAATAATGCATTTTCACTATATAATCTATATAGCCCCACCCTAACACCAGAAACCCTGACCCTGGGGCCATAAAATTCATAATTTTGGTAGAGGCACTCTTGCTCATCATAACTATGTACTTACTTAGTTTATTTAATACCCAGGAGCAGAGAAGAAGATTTTCAATGAAATAATGCATTTTCACTATATAATCTATATAGCCCCGCCCTAGCACTAGAACCCCTGACCCTGGGACCATAAAATTCACAATTTTCGTAGAGGCACTCTTGCTCATCATAACTATGCACATAGTTAGTTTATTTAATACCCAGAAGCAGAGAAGAGATTTTCAAAAAAAATAATGCATTTTCACTATATAATCTATATAGCCCTGCCCTAGCACTAGAACCGCTAAACCTGGGGCCATACAATTCACAATTTTGTAGAGACATTCCTGCTCATCATAACTATGTACTTAGTTTATTTAATAACAAGAAGCAGAGAAGAAGATTTTCAAAAAAATAATGCAATTTCACTATATAATCTATATAGCCCCATCATAACACCAGAAACCCTGACCCTGGGGCCATTAAATTCACAATTTTCGTTCCCTTCACCCCCAGATGCTATATGCCAAAATTGGTTGAAATTGGTTTAGTGGTTTCAGAGAAGAAGCTGAAAATGTTTAAATGTTAACACACGACGCACGACGGACGACGACGGACAAAAACAGATAGCAATAGGTCACCTGAGTTTACTCAGGTGACCTAAAAATTCATAAGAAAAGCACATGTAAATTATGAAAGCCCAAGCACTAAATATCCTTTATTAATGCCCATAATTTAAGCTTTTCAAAAACTTAAAAATAAATGTCTAAAGATTAAATTAAGCCTTGTGATTTTGATCACTTTTTGAGAACATTTGAAAATAATAATCAAAATGCCAAAACTTATATTCATTTTTTGAGATTGATTAATATATTTTTTCCGACTAGAAACATTCTCTTAGATATATTTTCTAAGTTATCATGTATTCTTATTTAAGCATGTCAATTGACCATGCAGTGTCGATATTAAGAGTTTTAACTCATTTTTTAATTAAAAGACTAATTTAATTGATTATATGTGTGAAATTAAATCACTGATTTGATATTTCCTTGAAGCTATAATAGCAGATGGAGGTGCCGACAAGTTTTAACTCCGCGCGTTAGCAGTATAAAGCAGATATCGTTAACAATTGAATCTGTATTGAGACATTTATTCAGTGAAAAAGGAATTAAAAGGAATAATTACTTACTTGGTAGACAAATACCAGCAAAATGAGAACAGTAATATCCTTCTGGGCAGCCAGTCTATAAATTAAACGATAAATTAAAAACCAGAAAGCTACGTTTCCCTGCAGTAATTATCAACATACAAAATTTAAACTAAGTTGCTGCGTTTTAATTCAACTGCGCACATGAAAAATCCTTTATTACCTGAAAATACTTTGATTAGACATTCTTGCTGACAAACAATTTAAGGAAAAAGGATCTAGTTAGTATTGACAATAACACATATGCAAACAGTATACTAACATTTTACCTCTTCATGCAGTATATCAGATAAGAAATAATACTTATACTCACGATTTCACAATTTGTAGACTCTTGTTCTGGGTCTTTAATAAAAAGAAAAGAAGACTACATTGTTTAATTCTAGCAATGATATTGTGCTCCCCACCTTTTTTTGTTGGTTAAGGTTAATTATTTATGGCATTTTGTCACTATAGTGTTTCTATCTTCTTCGCCCTGGTGTGGCTGTCTATCCAGCAAACATGCTTTCCATTTTGAAAGCGATATATCTCAATGAAAACATTATTGCCTAGTTGAAGTCTTTGAAAGTGAATTTTGTAGCTCATAAGGTCAAAACTCAAAATAAATATGTTAACTAATTTTCCAATGTCGACGAATGACTTATTTATTGATATTTTTGTTTAGTAATTTTGGAAATAGTTACTTATTGTGGAATTTAACTAACGACAAACTAGAATGTAATAACACGTTATAATGGTCTAATACAAATAAAAAAATAAAGTCATTTAATTTTCTTGATTAGTTTTGTAAAAGGTAAATCTTCAAGCTCATTGTCACAGAGATAAAAATATTATACAGAACTTCTCCCAAGTAATGTACATGTTTAAAGTGATAGACCTATGTCATGTAACCCAATAGTTATGAACTAGGTAAAAGGTCTTTTGTATCGAAATAGACGAAGAGATAAAAAAGATTTCATTTGATGTCTTCGTTTCCTTAAAATAGGGAACATAATATCATATGCTTTTACATGCACAGGTCATGGGAACTATTTAACAGTTAAAGTTTTACAGTCAAATGGAGGATCAACTAGGAATGGATGTGAAGCAAAATAATCAGTGAATATGAATCAATTAAAAATGATTAAAAGTATATAAGTGATATCAAATTTTAAAAAAAATCAGACACTAATAACATTTCTATCTGTATTCAGACATAAACTTCAAATAATGTATAATTACGTACTTCGTTCACATACACCAGCAAAATGATTACAATAATATCCTGATGGGCAGTTTGGCCTTCCCTGTATCAACATGAAATGAAAAAAATGATTAATTAAACTATGTTTCCCCAGAGAAAAAAAAATGTAAAACCAACACACGACATATATAAATATGAAGTATTTTCTTTATTAAAATGCAGAAACTCCAACGACGAGGGTAATTCAATAAATAATGTAATATCTAAAAGTAAGGAAAAAAAGGTATTATTATTCGAATTAAGTTCAATCCCTTAAAGTATTCCCTGTGACCTTTCACACATGTCTTAGGTCTTTGTACCCTTGAACAGAAAGCCTTAACATTCCCATCCGTAGGGATGACCCGAAGACATTGATGAATATCACTACCCAAGGCATATATGATTCTGTACCATTCTTCCTTTCTTTTGTTTTTATGCGGTTAAGAAAAAAAATATTGAGATCTAGCGGGGTAAGAAAAGCTCTACAAACTTTTTTTTTCAAAATTTTATTTATTTACTTATGCTTATTTGCAACAGCATTGTCAGTTTTAGATATATTATACTGGGAACCGGTATTTGGACTTCCTTTGAAGGAAATTTGTTTATAATAATAACAACAAGGTCTATAACAAACGTTATTACTTATTTTTTCTACCGTAAACTTTCTTTACTTATGCTGCAATATACCTTCATAACCAGCATAAGGAGTGCATATATCTCAGTTGATTCGTAAATTTGAATCGTTACTGTTTCGGTGAAAATTTTACTGTGTTAGAACCAACACAGCAAAACAGCTAATGGAGAACTCTGCACGCTGAAAGTCATCATTTCGTAAGATCTAAAGATGTTATAATGATGTTGACAGCAAATACAATTTACCATTGAGTCAAATGCTGACAGGAGCTTTTCAAACTAATTGTTAATTAGTATTTTTAGTCCATACATTTTACAGCAAATAAAATATATCACTGAGTCAAATGCTGACTGAAGTTTTTCATACTAATTGTTTATTAGTATTTTTAGTCCATCATTTTTACACTGAATTGACGACGCGTGCAAAAAATTTAAATACATTTTGTTCTTCTGGGAAAACGTTGTTTAGCTGGTTGAGTTTGGGAACATATTAGTTTTTACCTGTTTCTTATTATTATTATTATTATTATTTTGAGCTAAAACCTTTTTAGGGTTAATAGGTGTGTAGTGTAGGTGTGCAACACGAAGGTTATTTTGCGCCCGTTATTTCCGATTATGACAAGGAGCACACAGCTGGTGTGGTCGTTTAGCAGGGGATTTCATTCCTCTATGGCACTTGATCCTTCTGATGTTTTGGAGCTCCTGTGCTTGCTATGTTCCTAATTTGTACCTATTCATGAAATGTTGATCTTGAATACTGTTCGTTATCTCCAAATGATTATTTCCCGATCATGACGAGGAGTACACAGCGAGTGTGAACGATCGGCAGGAGAAGCTTACTCTTCCATTTCAACAGATACCATGTTTAATGGTTTTCCCTGCTCCTTATTTGTATTATAATGATATTTGAGCTGGAATATTGTTCGTTATCTCCAAATATTCCGATATAAAAGGCATAGATTTTACATTCGCACTCATTTTTATCTTCTTGGCAGTGCACGTGATAACTAGAAAATACTGTTCAACTTAGTGCAGCTTTTAATTTAAAATTCTTTATTTTTGCGCGGACAATAGAAAATTCACTGCGATTTTATGCGTTAGGAAGCTCTTTTACAGAACTTTTCGAGTGTGAAAAAATTAAATTAAATTCTACATTTCTTAGGATATACTGAAGCTTGCGTTTCGTATTGAACGACCCTCGTATATATTTAATTATCAAACTTAAATAAACTCGTTAATACATGTTCTTAGAAAAAATCGTAATGGAAACCCCAATTAAAAGCATAAAATGTACTTACCCTTCCACATGGCCTCAGACCTTCATTAATAAAATGAAAAAAAAAGCATTTCGGTTAATAAAAATATTATATTCCTGTTAATTTGTTTGTACAAACATGTTATTCAAAATAAACGAATTCTCAAAAGCTTGATATGAAACTCAAAAATCATCGTAACCACCATATTTTTATTACAGTGAGAGAGTTTGGTACATTATTAGAAAAATCTGAAAACGTTGAAAATCTTCTAGATGAATAGGCATTATTAAAAGTAGAAAATGAACACCAAACCTGAGGATGTTATTAACCAAGCAAGATTTCCTTCAACAACAAAAAAGAATTTTCTCTGTTACAAAATTCCGACATGAAATGAAATCGCCCTTGTTACTAATAAGAAATATTATATACGACCTTTTAATCAAAAGTTTACTCAAACTTCAATCGCAAATGACATGTTATGTATTGAAACATTATTCTAATTTTATTATTTCTTTGCGTTAATTATATACCCCGGTATTGTATTTTAAATTTGCTGGAAATAGTAAATTCCACATTGTGACTTTATAGTGTTTTAATCATGACGTCATGAGAAACATTATTGACAACTTTTGAAAACTTTCTAATTAGCCAAAATGGCTGAAAGTGCAAATATTAACAATAAAACAAGAGGTAATGTTGAACAAGGTTTGCACCCAAATCTCTATCGCGTCTGTCTCACATCCATTTTACCCATATTGGCCGTATACATGTAAATTACCTTGTTCGCATCTTCCACGGTTACACCAGTTATTTTCTGGACAATCAGTATCCTAAAAAAATTATGTGTATGTGAAACACTGATGCTCCCGTATGGCAAAATAGCAAAGATTAAAATTTTTCTTTTATGCAAATTTTATATATATTATCAAAAGCAGGGTATTTCCATTTGAAATACAATTGTGAAAATATGAAAGCAGGCCGAGGTTATATTTTTCCACAAATATAAACAAGGTCTAGGTCATTGGAATCCAATGAAAGGTCTTGCCACAAAAATACATAATATGTAAAGTATGGAAGACCTAGTTCTAACTGTTTAGAAGTTATGGCCATGTATAAATATTTTCAAAGTAGGTCTCCCTACAAAAACAAAAAAACAAACAAACTTGATGCAAAATTTAATTCTGTTCATATCTTTTTAATTTACATGTAATTGAAATTATTTAACCCTTTTAAGAGGAATGAATCAATCAATCAATCTACTGAACTTTTGGTCTTAGTCATAAATTAGTTAAGTAAAGGGGCCCCTGAGGCCCCTGAGTCGCAGGAAATACTTATTCGATAAAAACCTAGAAGACTATACTGTACATCACTAAATTCGTGAATACCTTGATAAGGCAATCAAATTTTTACCATATCCATTCTAACCATAATTTTTTAAGGTTTAAGGCTAGTGCTTTCATACTTAACATATTTAATTCTTGTGACAAGATCTTTCATTTGATAGCAAGACCTTTGACCCTTTGACCTTGGAGTTTGACCTACTTTCAAAAATTTTTAACCGTGGCCATAACTTCTGAAAGTTCAGGGCTAGGGCTTCCATACTTTACATATGTAATCTATGTGGCAAGACCTTTCATTGGATACCAATTACCTTGACCTTTTGTCCTTGACCTTGGAGTGGGGTGAAACAGGACCCAGGGCTTCGTTTTATAGGCATTACAAAAGGTACCACTCTTTGCGTTTTGAAATCCATCTACACTAAAGGACCGAGTCCTTTGATATAGTTTGTCCAATTGAAAGCTTACAGTTCAAAAAGAAGACTAAAATATCCTGATCAAGATTGGTCTAACACTGTGAACTGTTTTTTTGAGCTTCTGGCTATAATTAAAACATGCTTGATTTTTGTAAAATGTTAAAGAATTTTTGGCAATCTTTTTAATTTTTGATTCTTCAGTACCATTAATAAGAGGACCTGGAAAACTTATAGGCAAAATATAACAATTCATTCAACCCCAAAAAGCGCTGTGCCTAACCTGTTTTATGAGGCGATATATTCTGAAGAATACACATACAAGAACATCTTATTTTTTAAAAACAATAAACAGACAAGTGGACAAAATGGAGACAGAGGATAAGATTTGTTACAAAAGCCTGACCTGTACCATTCGATTACATATTAAGCAAAAGACAAAAGTGCTGGGAACGCCTTACCGAAAAACAAGTATTCCGACCTGGAAAGAAACGACAAATGTTTATTGGATGGTTAGAAAATAATGATTATTGCAATTTGCATATACATAAAAATCAAAAGAGGCATTGGCATGTGAACCATTACAATGAGAAGTTTTTTTTTTTTTAAGTTTATTTATAGATCAATAGTGTTACAAATTAATTACAAATAACTAGCTTATATCAAGAGGCCCATGGGCCTTATATGTCACCTGAGAATCATGCAACAACTTTCAAATGATTAAATTAGGTTCATGTTTTAAGGTAGATGCTATGGCATTCACAGAGGCTGGCACCATTGCTAATCGTCACTATAATTAAACTTAGCAATTGCTTAGTTTAATTACTTACAAAAATAATCAAACTTTACAACTGATATGTATGAAATTCTTCTTTGTCAAATGATAGTTGACAGCTAAAGATATCATACCAAAAAATTGATTTATATCTGGTGGTTAATATGTTGACCCCAAGCTTCCTTTATACGAATAGGCAGGGTAGGGGAACAAAAATTGCATATCAACTAATCAGTAATATTTAAGAAATGAATGTAATATTTTTCCCTTTGATCGATGTATCAAAGAAAAATTTGGACGGAAAACTTCATCAATGCGCGTAGCGCATTGATGAAAAAGTTTTACGTCCAAATGTTTCTTTGATACATCGATCAAAGGAAAAAATATTACAGTCATTTCTTATCATTTAATTATGATTTTAAATTAACAAAATTAAACTTTCTTTCACTTTTCTATTAAATTTACGCATCAAAAACAGTGCGCACGAATACATCACAACAACGTTAACGTTGCTGAAATTCAAAATGGCTCAAACGAAGAAACGTTCATTGTCATGGCATTACCAACATTCTCTAAAATAATTTACAGTTCTTTAACACAAAAAAAATTACCTGTTGTTTTATCCTAATCGGTATATTTTCCCCAGTAAGTTATCTAAGTTCATAAATGTGAAGGGAAGCTACTCGAATATCCTAACAGTTCTAACGTTAGGTCACAGAAATTTTGGATTTCATTTGCACATCTTTTCAACTGAATTTCAAACCGAACATATAAATACGTATCACAATTCACGACCTGTAGACCTGTAGTCAATGCTGTAAAACCTGAAAGAGTCTGCTGCCGACTGTTTAAGATCCTCATTCATGCAGTGTCGTTTTTCTCGATCATTCGTTTCCCAAGATTTAACAGATTAACGGTTTTCCTCTCTTTGGTAGCATAAAAAAAATGTTTCTTCAGAATTCTATTGTTCATTCCAGACATCTCAAAGCCAAACATTTAACAAAAGTATGTCGATTTCTTTCCTTCCTTCCCAAAACTGTTTTGTTGTTATGCAGACGATTTGATTTGTTTAGCAAAGGGGGATAACTCAAATAGAAACGAAAGTAGAAAATAAGTCAGGAACATAACGGACAGGTTTCGAAATTCAGGAAAATATTTATTAAAGTAAAAGTATTTAATTATTCCTTCAAAAAGTAATCTGGAAGCGGGAATATACATGTAACGGCTGTCGAAGTAGTTCGGCCGCTTAGTGCAAGCGAACTCTAGATTTTATTGATGCAGTTATCAAAAGAATTTTTTTATCCAATCAGAATCAAGTGTTTTATAGAAATTAAATGATTCAGCGATAATCAGAAGTGTCACTACAACACATGAACCCCTGAGCCTAGGTCCACACATAGCACAATTTTTGAAAAGACATACTTGCTTATCAAAAATCTTTTATTAATGCGCCCAAGGAGCAGATTTCAAACAATTCATTTTCAGTATATAAGCAGAGCCCCCCTTCCCCTCTCTATAGTACCACTGACCCAGGGGCCTGGAAACTCGCAATTCTAGAAGAAGAACCCTTAAACATCATAACCATATACATTGTAGGTAGTTCATCTGCTTTTTACCCAGGAGCCGAGAATATGATAAATAAACATTCACTGAAAATTTCAGCTTATTACGTCCATTATTTTTGGAGAAAAATGCTTTGTCCACGATTTTACCAGACAACCCTCATAAAAGTGCGGATTTTTATCTTGAAGTTTTAGTTTATATAAAGGAAATTCTCAGGTTTTAAATTGCGGCCATCGTAGAAATTAATTTATCATATGTACTAGGAACACGTGCTTTTGTTTATTGTGTGCTAATAATAGCGACAGTAGCTATTGGTCAGTATTTAAAGGTCGATACCTGTAGAACGGGTGAACAGGTATTCACTTTAATCACGATTTTAACTCATTCGAAGGCTTTGCTTTGCTACATTCACACCCACCCACCCACCCTCTTACTTACCTCAACCTTTTACTAGTATTTTTAATAAAGAAATTGTTTTCATTTCAAGAAAATTAAAAGTTTTGTACACAACAGATTAATTGTCAAAGATGGGAAACAATTTGCTTAGTCGCTCTAGATAATTTTATGTAAAATTTGATATAAATGTAAGATTGTTGTGTAAGGGAACATGTTAGCTACATATAGTCGAAATGTGTTTACAGATAGTTCTAACTTACATTCTTTTTGCATAGGTTTTACTTAAACTAGTCGATTAATTGTACATTATAATATATGATACGTACGTAAGTTTGTGAGAATGAGTCTGCCATTCATTTTGTTTACCTCGCAATTGCTGCGGACTTACAGGTTTCCATAGTTTTTTCAACATAAATCGATGTTGTTTTTTATCTATGGTTTTTCCTGGGCGGCGAGGGAAGCATAATTGTGTTCATACATGCATTATATTACGTTTTTAGTCAGTGAAGTGAGGACATATAAAAGCATTGTGTTAAAATGCATTTTGTACTGTTATGCGTGATTAATTATATTTTTCATATATTGTAGAAGGAAGGTAGAGAATCAGTACCATTGAAGACTTGTTTTTGTAAATGTATACGTCTAATAAATATTGGCAAGCAAGCGCTTCCATTTCCTATGTAGACAAGTGTTCTTGTTTTGATTGTAAATAATTTATGTTCGTTTGAGTGAAACGAATTAGAACATAACAAAACATAATAAAAATAGTAGGTTTTCAGATTCTTTCTCAGAAATGGATTTAAAATCACTTATTCAAAGTGCTTTATCAAAAATATTTTAAAAAGTGGAAAGTATTAATTATGAGGAATGTTAGAACTCGATTTTTTTCACGGATTTGTTTGTTTGTTTGTTTTGTTGTTTTTTTTTTTTTTTTTTGGGGGGGGGGGGTTGTTTTTTTTTTTTTTTTTTTTTTTTTTTTGTTTTTTTTGTAGCAACTTAATTTTCTTGCGTTTCTTATCCCTGAAAATTTTCTTAACATTTTTGGGGTGTTTCTGGATATATTTAACTTTCATTTCAATCTTCTTTTTGATTTTTAAATGCCGTCCGATTTTGTTATCACTGCTGTTCGATTATATATTATCGGACTGGTAAATATTATTATCGGACTGCTACAGGTAAATTTTTAGACTGCAAGAACAAACTCATGACGTCACAGCAATGTTTAAACTATGTTTATACCTTGCTATATCGTATTTAACTAACGAAAAATTAGAATTTAATAGTGCGTTTTAATGTTCTAATACAGATTGAAATAGCAAATAATTAATTTTCTTAGTTTTTTTCGTAATTGAAAGTTTGGCAGGATGACATAGTTAATGGTTTCCACATGCTATGTTTTGTAGTGGGTTAAAAGTGGTAAAATTCTTAATTTTGATAACAAAAATTTTTTTACACACATTCTTTTTTGTCCCCCGCTTGAAAAGTGGGGGATATTAATTTGGGTTTGTCCGTCCGTCCGTCCGTCTTTCTGTCTGTCTGTAACGCTTTCGTTTCCACATGATATCTCGAGAACCCTTTGAGCTTTTGAAATGAAATTTTGCATAGCAACTCCCTATAGAATAAGGAAGACCCCTATTGATTTTGAGGTCAAAAGGTCAAAGGTCAAGGTCATAAATTCGCAAATTCTGTCTGTTATAACGCTTTCGTTTCCACACGATATCTCGAGAACCCTTTGAGCTTTTGCAATGAAATTTTGCATAGCAACTCCCTATGGACTAAGAAAGACCCCTATTGATTTTGAGGTCAAAAGGTCAAGGTAATAAATTCGCAAATTCTGTCTGTTATAACAATTTCGTTTCCGCGCGATGTCTCGAGAACACTTTGAGCTTTTGCAATGAAATTTTGCATAGCAACTCCCTATGGACTAAGAAAGACCCCTATTGATTTTGAGGTCAAAAGGTCAAAGTTCAAGGTCATAAATGTATACATTCTGTTTGTGTATAACGCTATTCTTTTCGGGCGATATTTCAAGAGGATTTTGAGCTTTTGCAATGTAATTTTATACCAAAAGTCCCTAGGACCTCTCCCACCCCTTTCAAAGTGTCCCGACCCGTTTGTTTTATTAGTATTTATTGTATTACATGTCGCTATCTTAAGCACAGGGGCATGAAGGAGAGTTATTACGTATAAAACAGGTTCCCGGCGGACTTTATATTTTTGTTACATCTATTAGAACTGTTGAATAAAGGTTAAATTAGACACCATACATTGTGTAAAATTTTGACAATATGTCGAACGTGAATATATACATGTATCTGACTTTATGTGTGTATATAATTTTTGCTATTTTAAGGCGGCTCCGTGGTCTAGTGGTATGTCTCTCGCTTCAGATGTGAGAGGGCCTGGGTTCGCTTCCTGGCCGACCCATTTTTTTTTTTCGAAATACTTTTTTTTTTTACTAAATGATAGTATTCAGCATGTGAAATGAAAAATTTATGAGGTTCTGGCTAATACAAACTCATAAAATCATCATAACAGTGTGATAAATATTCCATATAAAAAGGATCTTCTACACACATGATAAAGAATAATCAATCAAACCTTTTTATCCATATTGGCATATTTTATTTACTTCAGTATACATTTAACAATTCTACAAATTCAGTCAAGGGGATCCGAACCCCCCCCCCCCCCCACCGACCCCCGAACTGTGCATGGTTTACTTTTTCCTTAAGCAGGGGACACAAATTCTCTGAATTAGCTTGTTTAATTTACTAATTCGCTACACGAATTGTATGGTCGTACATATAAAAAAACATGCTACGGAAAGTAATAAAAATTCTGGTTGATACTATCGATTAAATCACATTTAAAAAAAATCAATTTACAAAAAGAAACTTTAAGTTCTTTTAACAAGAAAATCAAATGTAAAATATGGAAGCCCCAGCACTAAATATTCTTTATTTATGGCCATAATTTAAGCTTTTTAAAAATTCAAAAATGAATATTTTAAATCATTTTTACAAAAAATGATTTTTTTTTTTTATAACTTTTGAAAATAATAATCAAATACCAAAATTTAATTTTCATTTTTGAGATTGACTGAATATTTTTTACGACTAGATAGAAACATTCTCCTAGCAATATGTTCTAATTTACGTATCAAGTATCCTTATTTAAAGCATATCCATTGACCATGCTGTTTCAAGTGTTTTAACTAATTTTTTAAATAAAAACTAATTTAGTTGTAAACGTGTGCAATTTAAGCACTGATTTCTTATTTACTGGAAGCTATAACAGCAGATCTAGATGGCGGTGCTGACAAGTTTTAATTTCCCGCGTTAGCATGATAAAGTAGATAACTGTAACAGTTGAATCTGTATTGAGACATTTATACAGTGAAAATTACTTACTTGGTAGACAAATACCAGCAAAATGAGAACAGTAATATCCTTCTGGGCAGCCAGTCTATAAATTAAACGATAAATTAAAAACCAGAAAGCTACGTTTCCCTGAAGTAATTATTAACATTCAAAACTCAAACTAAGTAGCTGCGTTTTCATTCAACTACGTGCATGATAAATCCTAAATATAACATAAAAATACTTTGATTAGACAATCTTGCTGATTGGAAAAAAGATCTAGTCAGTATTGACAATAACACATTTACAAACATATTACCACTGTATGCAGTATATCAGATCAGAAATAATACTTAATATACTCATGATTTCACAATTTGTAGACTCTTGTTCTGGGTCTTTAATAAAAAGAAAAGAAGAAGGCATCATGTTTAATTCTAACAAAGAAATTCAGAGAATTTTGCGCCACACCTTTTTTGTGTTGGTTAGGGGTAATTATTTATGGCAAATTATTACTATATTGTAACTATCCCGGTGTAGCTGTCCGTCCAGCAAGCATGCTTTATATTTTGAAAGCGATATCTTGCAATGAAAACATTATTGCCTGGTTAAAGTTTTTGAAAGTGAAACTTCTGTGGTTCATGGGGTCAAAACTCAAAATACATAAAAAATTGTCTTTTTAGAAATTATGTCCTTGTGAAAAAATGAAAGTCCCCTATCTTTACATGAAACGTTATGGAAAAGTAAGTGAATTTCAATTTCAACGTCATCAGGTTAAAAAGTTTTCAAAAAATGATAAAAAAAAAATGCTCGGACGTCCGAGCCAACCACACAAAGTCGCAAAGATGATAATCATTGAAAGTTGTAGTTATGGGCAATGCAAATATGTTATATAATACAAAAGTTATCATCAATGTCAAGTGGTTTGGAAAAAGGTCAACCCTCAAGGTGTTTGTTATGGGAAAAAACATAATCATAATCATACACAAGAAAGACAAGTGATGAAGTTTTTTGTGAAGATAAACGGGGAAATAGAAAATAAATTAAATATCCTCGTTTTGTAAAGGTATTGAACAACTGTAATATTTTAGACTTATTAAAACAATCTGACATTCCTTGCATGCAGACAAAAGGGCACTCAAATTTGTACTGGCGATTTGAGGGAAAACTAGGGAAGTGAATCAAAATAATCATTGTGTATGATAAAGATTGTAGTCATTTAAAGAATAAATTATTTATTTTCGAAAAAGAAAATAGATTCCAATAAATCTTTATCTGTATTAAGCTATAAACATCAAATAATAATTTTATTACGTACTAGGTAAACATACACCAGCAATAGTAGAGCAGTAATATCCAACTTGGCAGTTTGGCATTGTCTGTCAAGTGAATAAAAAATGATAAATATACAGTACTTTTTCTGTTAATCAAAATGCAAAAACTATATATATATATATATATATATATATATATATATATATATATATATATATATATATATATATATATATATATATATATATATATATATATATATATATATATATATATATATATATATATATATATATATAGGCCTATACACTTTATATGATAAATATATTATCTTGTTCAAAATAAAATTCATTAAAGCATTCTCCAAAACACTGTTGTAGGGACCCTAGTTAAGTATAATTTATACTTACCCTTCCACATCGTCTTCGACCTTTATTGAAAAAAAAATTAGATTAGTCAAAATATAACATGTACATTCATTTGTTTATTTTTTAGCTATCTTAGCGTAAACAGATTTTCAAAAGGTCGATACAAAACGAATATGGACTGAGAAAAATTCGCCATCCAGAGGACAATGATGAAGGAAACATTTTTTTGTTATAATTCAAATCCACGTTACCACAATACTAAATTCAATGAGACAAGTTTTCAAGATGACGAAAGTCAGCTTCGGTAATCTACTAAACATCTTCAATGGCGCTCATTTCTAATAGCTACCTTAAATTGCGGTTTCTTATTTATCTATATTTTCTGGGACAATTCACTACTCTTGTTATTAACATGTGAACATACCTCAGAAAACAAGGATCAAAACAAATATGTAATATGTAAACATTAGCACTTGCCATGTCAGCCTCGTTTATCTTTGAATGGTTTTGTATGATACATGTATTATATACTATTTATGTTGAAGCAAAAATTGAAATGGATGAAAATAGAAATTTAATTTTTGCTTCAACATAAATTAAATAATAGTTTGATTTCAATTTTTGCACTTTGTTGGTAATAAATGTATTATGAGAAAATGACACTAGAAATAATTTCAAGCATATACTTGTATATCCATATACGATAAACTATAGAGCGGTACTAAGGGATCACTCTTAAGTCTTGGCTTTTCAATCTTTAAAACTGGTAATTCCAACTCAGAAGTTGGAAATTCCAACTTTAAATTGGCTTTTCCAATTTTTTAAGCCAACTTTAAAGTTGGAATTGCCAATTTTAAGGTCGGGAAAGGCAAGTTGAACTTAATTTAGAATTGAAATTATGAACTTTTAAATTAAATTACATTATACTAATACTCTTCAGTAAAAACAAATACTAGCATCAATTATAATCTCGTATTTAATTAATTTAGATGCCAAATCTATGGCAAGTATTATACTGGACAGAAAAATAAACTAAACCATGATTCCGTATTCTTGACCAACGTACTAGGGACGAAACTTTTATGTTTAGAGAATTTGCTTAGTGAGGTACAGGAATAAGATGTTCTTGATTTACAACACTTTGAAATTAGATGAAATTACCAGTGTTAGCTAAGAAAACTATAATTTCATGATATATATATATATCGCCATTGAGCAGTGATGGATCTTTTCGTACTAGTACCTTTTACGAAAGGGACCTCGGTCTAATCCGAAGGACAGCTCTCAACGTCCCACCGTGGGATTTGAACCCACGACGTAAGGATCAACTCCTAACCTTGCGCTCTAGAGCAGACGCTCTAATCAATGCGTCACGCGGGCGACTATTCGTAAAAAAAATAAAACAAAAGTTACTGAAGACTGGCGTCCTACTCTCGATCGTGTTCGAATCATGATCAGTTTACCCTCTCTATATTCGCAGTATACATTACCTGGTACGCATCTTCCTTTGTCACACCAGTAATTTTCTGGACATTGAACATCCTAAAAATATGTTAACTCAATATTATTTAACTTAAACTTAAATTGTTAAAATTATTGAAATCATGTCTTTAAGCACGAACTGTGAATTTCATTTCTTACTTTGATAAAAGTAAGTTTATGACACTTAGAAGCATTTATTCAACATTAAAATAACATATTGAAAATATTCAGGTGCAGAAATATATGTATGGAATTACCATCACACGCCTATTTAGCAGTTTAATACTGCCTTTTATAAGTTCAAGTCTCAACTTTGATGGTATTGAAAAACATTAATGCAATTGTTTCTATTTAAAAAATACGATCTGTTTTATTGAAAACTTTTGAAATAATTGTAAACTCGACAGGGACGCATGCTACTGGAGTGTAAGATTGCATTAATTTAATTCATAAATAACTTTAATTACAAAAGTGAATGGACAAAAGGCAAGGCATATTTAAGCCTTCTACATTAACATATCTACACTGTGTCTGAACAATGGTAAATATAACTAAAAGTAATGGATTTTAACAAAAATCTGCAAACAATTTATCATCAGGATCTAAATCATGGGCCCTGGAAAGATATGATATCAGGTGCTGAGGTGTCGGGGTAAGCATCCCCTGTATATCACTGACTCAGTCAAAGCGCTATGAGAGATATTGTTTACTTGACAGAATATTTTACCCCGTATTACTTCCCGTTTTACATCCCGTTTTACATATGTATAATAGAAAATAACAAGAAAACATTGATGTGACCATCAATTGTCGCCCGGGAAATATATAAAGTAAACGATGGAAATGAGTCTTGATCATTAAACTGCTTCGATATGTGTGAAAAGGCATGCGTCTAATTGATGGAGATGATAGTCATGAATATTTTGAAAACTTAAAGTCGGATAAATTTTTATATCAAACAAAAACGACACCATTTTAAACTTCAATTCTTCGAGTAGATGTTGGCTGCATAAAATGTAAATTGATGTTAGACACATGCATCACCTATATTAAAAATGTATTTAATTTTCAATTTTAGAATATAAAACACGAACTGTGCAGAGTACGTTTTTATGCGAGAAGTAAAATTCGATACACGTTCTAAAAAAGGGGACCTGTCGTTTTTTTCGACAGTATATGATAAGCAACTTTATATTTTAAATATGAAAAACTTATATATTTAAAGATTCACTTTATGGTAGTAAATATATTATGTATCTCGTAATTTATAAAGGAAAAGAACATTCTGATTAACAATCTTTTCAATGGTTCGAAAACCTTTAATTCTGAATAACTACTCCTACCCCAATCCCCATACACCCACACTTAAACTTATATGTATAGAGCAGCCCGGTCCTCCGGGCTGCAATAAGATGCATGGTACTTAATTCAATCCACAGCGCTTTTGCCTCTTTGCTCTTCAGTGGATTTTGAATATTTGAGATTAACAAAAGCAACATAACATTATAATGTGACCTCAAAATTAAAAGACAATGTCAAAAGTTGGCACAAAAATCTCCAAAGAAAGCGCCAAAGTAAATAGACTTAACCATGTAAATCATAGATTTTACACAACGCCTTACCAAAGTACAAAAATCCTGATCTGGAAGAAAAAAAAGAATGGTAATTGGATACTACTAGAAAAAGAAATAATACATATAATTATAATATTTGCAATTTATGCATAGGCAAAATCAAAAGAGGCTAAAATACAACATGAACGCCATAACAAATAAACATTTTTGAAAGATCATTTTCTAATTAATAATGATTCAAAATAATAACTAATACATGTTACTAGCTAGCTTACAAAAATAGATGTTTGTAATTGATTATAATATATGTATAACCAATTTATGATTTTTTTAAAATCATTTCAGAACCTGATATGCGTTTAAACTAAGTCCAATGAATTCCCTCCCTGAGTTACCAGTTCCAGTCGATTGATCTGATCGTCTGGTCTTTAATTTGACTTTTATAAACGCACGCTACTGAAAAGTTTACTTGAACATTTTTTTTTCAGTAGCTTGATATGTGAACACAAAATATTTACTTGATGAATCATTTCAGATTCAAAACCTTTTCCAATTCACCATCTTTTTAATACAACTCAAGAACTAAATTAACTATGTTATCATATAATTAATGAAGGTTAAGTGATTGTGTTCATTGCGTTTCCCTTTTTGTTTATTTAAGAAAAAAAATTGATAAAGACAAACACGAGCATATCTCATGCTAAAGTCTTAAAGTATTAAAATTCATCATTTAAACGGTCATAATTTTCATTTATTGAAATAATATCCACATCCAGTTAAAAACAATTGAAATAACTATGAAGAAAAATAAAATGTTTTCGATTCGGATCGGGAAAGTGGTTGCACATTTCATATCCTTCTTTCCTTTTGCTTTGTAAGTGAATTTAACGAATGTTATTCCATATGATAAAATATAAAATTGAAAGTTACTTACTGTGATCTGGCTGACATATTCCAAATTCACAACGTTGTCCATTTGGGAAATCCCATATCCCCAACTAAAGAATTTGTTTAGAAATTAGAGTCATTAACAAATAACAAATAAGGTGTTTTCAAAATTTGAATGCTTTAGGTTAATTTGATATTCAGAATTTTAAAAACAAAAAAAACAAATTCTTATTAAAACAATAAACTAGTGCACTTACCGGAGGAAAGTACCATCTGTTTCTGTTTGAAATCTGTGCACTGACACAGAATAGCAGAAATAACTGGACACTAAGATAAAATATCATCTCCACAAAAATTAACGCACTATAATGGAATAAAAGAAAAAATAACATTATACATATATCACATGACTTTGAGGGTGACATGCCAGCATATTTGCCCTAAGGTGACAAGAAATCCCTGCAGTGTAATGTCACCCTATGCCGAACACATATTTATGTATTTATTCAAAGTTTAATGAGAGTTTATCTCCAATGACATTGTCAGCAAATACAAATTATCATTGCGTCAAATGCTGACTGACGTTTTTCATAAGTTGTTAGTCCATTATTTACACACTGAATTGACGACGGATTTTCCCGTTATTTTCCGAACATGACAAGGAGCACACGGCGGATAAGACCGGTCGGCAGGGGATGCTCACTCCTCCATGGCAACCGGTTTGAAGCTCCATGTTTGCCCTGTTCCCTTTTTGTATTGTATTATGGACTTTTGATCTTGAAAATTGTTTGTTATTTCCATGTTTCCTCAAAACACTACATTGATATTGGAAACTAAAGCATCATAGTTAAAATATCAACATCAGAGTATTTGTGTGTACAATCCGAAAGAATTAATCAAAAAAATACCTTCAGGAGTACTGTACTCAAACAATATGTTTGAGTAGTGGTGCAAAATAAGATGTGGATACTTTTTTTTTTTTCAACACTTTGAACAATCATTCCCTACACGATAAATTATAGTCCAGGCTTTTTGACATCATTGACAGCTATTTTTTTTCATCAATGAAAATGGAACTCGTAAAATTTACCGACCATGTCATCGGTGATTGGCAACTCAACTTTGATTTGATACAAATCTTTCTTATTGTGCGTACAAGTACTCTGAAGTTGTCATAAAAAATGCTTGAGTATCTGATTGACATTATTTATGTATTTTTGGAAACCAGGTTTTCGAACAACCTGCTGGAAAACTCAATGGTGCTAATTGCATTCCGTTATCAGCCGACCTTTTGTTTTAATTCATATCAAGTAGAATTTATTAAAAATATTTATCATGTGAGGAAGAAAACCCTTACTGTGATCTTCAACTCGACATTAAGATATCAACGACTAATTATCAGTTTAACAACATGTAGTTACTTTCATTCGTTAACGATTCGATATACACAAGTGATTGTGATAAAGAAAAAAGATACCAGAGAATCTAACTAACATGTTTTGATATTTTACTTGAAAAGACATAAATGGTAAGCTAACAACACGATAAACTGACGACTTCATCTTCTGAAAGGTCATCTTCCCTTAATTTTATAACAAAATACCCTTATCACCTGTATATATGGGGTTTATGTCTCTTAATTGAAACGATATGTAAAAGCATGTTCTACTTGTGGACAATGTCTAAAACGATGCAAACTATTGATAAAAAAGTTGATGAAAAAAGAATATCAACAGTCTTGTTTAAAGTCCCATTTGTCACTGCAATTTTCTTGTCAGCAATCTAAAACAATCTTTCATCATGTCATTTGCTGACTGACCTTTTTAAAACTTATTTTAACAACACGGCGGATACATGTAAGACCGGTGGGCAGAAAATGATCACTCCTCCATGGAACTTAATCCCACTTCTTATTTTGAATGAACATTTAGGCTTGAATATTGTTCGTTCTCACATTATATTTTATTTAAAATTTTCTTGCACTTGGAACTTTGTTTTTAACATTTATTTAGTACTTTAATCATTGTTTTTTAATCCCAATTGAGTTTTTTTACATACAGTTTTACCCCCACCCTCCATTTATCTTTGCAAAGATAGACATTTTACTAAAATGGATATTGGCTTATCCGAATTTTCTCCACTTTTCTTAAATTTTTAGGATGTATTAGTTATTTAGGATCTACAGTATAGTTATTTTTATATGCTTCTTATATTTGAATTTTTCTTATTTCCACAAATAGTAAAGTTGTCATATAATGATACAAAATGATACCAAAAAAAAAATGTTTTTGATTGTTTACTAAGAGAGAAAAAAAATTTACGGACTTTGGTTCAAAACTGTACTTAGATTGGAAAGCTTTTAAAAGCTAACATAGTTCAAGTGCTGCTAGGGCTTTCACATTTCACAACTGTTTTCCTGTGAAAAGACCTTACTTACCTTACCCAAATAAATTGAAATTGCATTTTAGAAAAGTTCAATCTTCGCTATGCGGGGCATCAGTGTTTCACTAACACATCTTGTTAATTTTACAATTTTAATTCTTATTTATTTATTATCAATTTTGTTATCAACTAGATTTTGTTTGCACTAGTTGGCTTTTGTAAAAGAATTCAATAACAAAGATTTTAAATTTTGAAAAAAAAACATATAATTTATTTATAATATACTTAGTGTGATCATTTTTTATCTAAATTGAGTTTTTCTTAACACAATTATCAATTCTGTCTTGATGGTGTCATTTTTTTCTTATCCCTCTCATTTTTTTAATTTCATTTTTGGCAATTTTTAACCTCTAGAATACTGCCAATCATCATTATTATTATTCTTTATTTACTTAATACATACGTATTATCACACGTATACAGTGTAATTTTGAAAAAAAAAAAAACAGATTGATTTGTATGGCTCTTCTATACTAGTACTTTAAGAAACAGAGCCTAGTTTATATAATGAATTTACTTAGTATGGCGCATCTATACATGAAATATAATAAATTTTTTGACACATAATAATTATAAAAATACAAATATAGAGATAGGAAAAAAGAAGAATTAATCACATCTTTTCATTTCTTAACTTAAAAGCTAAATGCAAAAATTTACCGAAATTACAAAGTTCAGAAAAGTTTTGTACATTCAATAATTGAACTAGTTTGAATGCGGATGGTTTTTTCCAGTAATAACTTCTAATATATTTAATTCTCAATTTCTTTGAAATAGGACAAATTAAAACAAAATGAAATTCGTCTTCTATGATGGTTTTACAAAATTCACAAAATCTAAATTC